GGGAATACATGTAAATCCATGGCTAATTCATTTCAATGTATGACAAAAACTACTGTAATGATGTAAAGTAATTAGCCTCCAACTAATAAAAATAAATGGGGGAAAAAAATGGGGTTACAAGAAAAATGGGGTTACAACTAATTCAAAAAGATACATGTACCCCAGTGTCCACTGCAGCATTATTTATAGTTGCCAAGACATGGAAACAATCTAAGTGGCCATCAACAGATGAATGGCTGAGTAATATTCTGCTGTGTGTGTATATATATATATATACACACACATACATATATATATATATATACACACACATATATATATATACAGCACATCTTCTTCATCCATTCTTAGTACTTCTATGAACATTGGGGTGCATGTATCTTTTGGAATTAGAGTTTTCTCCAGATACATGCCCAGGAGTGGGATTGCTGGATCCCATGGTAACTCTAGTTTTTTTTTTTTTTAAGGTTAAATACACTTCTGAACTATTTTCTGTATACATTTCCATATACAAAAATAGAATTGCTATTTTTTAAGTCCGCAGAGAATCTCTGCAACAATGTCCTCACGACCTCTGCCCTTGCGAGGGGGTCAGTGGGAACATCTGACCTTGAGAATGTTGCTCATTCCTTACGGGGCTCCTGCAGAACTGAACGAGGATGAGCTAAAGCTTGCTGAAGGCTCTAGTGAAGCGGGGGCCTGGCTGCCTTTGTGGTGGCTGAGTTATTCTGTTCCTGTGTGCCTCTCTTCAGAGAAAACTGCCAGCTGACTCCAGGGTTCTGGAAGCCTCTGAGCTGGTATACACGGTCAGCGCCCAGGAGTACTGGCAGCGGGCGCTCCTCACCGAGGAGGAAACTGGTAACTGACACATGAATATATGTATTTTTATCTCACTCACTAAAGTTCTCAAGAACAAGCTTGGCACTCTGAGTTTCCCATCCTAGAGCCTTCTGTGCCGCACTTGTAGTTTGCCACAGTTTCCATTCGTTTGAGCAAATGTGTGTGTGTTTCTGCACTGTCGTGGTTCCTGGTGCTTCACTGCTGACCTCCCATCTATAGTCGCTGATCCTAGCCTGGGGGAAACAGAAAGGTTGGCTTCATGAGCATCCCACCCACATAGGACCTCAGCTGAAGTTGATTCAGACTGCCGTCCTGATCTGTTAATTTTCATGAATTCTGTTTCCTATGAGCTCTGGCCTTTTCAAACTATTTGTGTTGCCTGTGAATTCCAGAAATCCCCAAGTTAAGAGAATATATCAGGAGAAGGCTCTTGGATAAGAAGAAGAGGATGGTGACCAAGTACGTCACTGAAGCTTTTGGCCTGTTGCTCCTCACAGACAGTTTCAGCTGCACGGACCACATGCAGGTATCTGGGGAGACCCCTGGGCTGTGTGTCCTTCGCCTCCCAGCCTGGGCAGAACCCTCCCTCCCTCTTACCAAGTTAGAAAATTAACTTGGAATGACTTTTCTGACCAGAGTAACACCCTAAACTCAGAGAATCTAAAGAGAATAAAGAAAATCTGAGGGTTAACATTGTAACCTTTGAGTAAGGAAAGAAAAGAATGTTTTATCTTCTTTTCTTTTTTCACCTGTGACAGATAGGCTGAGAGGGAAAGTTAAAAATAGTCACTTTAGCCTCTCCCCAGACTTGAATCAAGTAGAGTGTGTTTAATGGTAGGAGAGCTGTGTCGTCTGCCGCTGGAATAAGCTGAGCTTCCCTGGTGGCACAATGGTAAAGAATCTGCCTGCCAATGTAGGTTTGATCCCCGAGTCGGGAAGATCTCCTGGAGAAAGAAATGGCAACCCACTCCAGTATTCTTGCCTGGAGAATCCCATGGGCAAAGGAGCCTGGTGGGCTATAGTCCATGGGGTTACAAAGAGTGGGACATGACTAAGCAACTTAGCTCACAAGCACATAAAAAGGATATGCTGCTAAATGATAAGTTTGGAAGAAAAATTTGCGGCCAGAATAAATCACCAAAAGCATTGCTTCCTTGCGAGGGATTGAATATACAAACAGACAAGCATATGTAAAAACAGAACTTTGACCCACAGTCTTCAACACCCAGCCTAGGAAGCCAACCCCTGATCTACAATGAACAGCTCACGAAGTCAGCCTGCTGTATCTTAGACATGTAGGAAGTTAGACTGCTATCTCTGATAACAATCTAAGGAGCAAAGCAATAACTTCTGTAACAATCAGCCCCAAATGGCCAGACCGCGGTTAACGACTAAGGGCTTCCCTGTGTGCTGTGCTTGGTCACCCAGTCGCATCTGACTCTTTGCGACCCCATGGACTGTAGCCCACCACCAGCCCACCCTAACCTTTTTAAAAATTTTTTACCTTTCATCCATATTTTATTGCAGAGAGATTACCATGATGCTTAGGTATTTTAAAATATGAGCAGCAGTTGCTTACAAAACAGAAAAAGAATTTTTAACCTGAAACACACAAAAACAACCCATCTAATTCAGATTACTAGTGGTATGGCTGGAAAGTGACAGCTCCCATCCAAATTAAACCCTTTAGCAATGATGGCGTTGCCTTTAATTCTGCAAATGACAGCCTCCCAGCAGACTGCCCTGTTCTGTTGATACTCACATTTTTGCTATAACTGGCTAGCCATTAAACTCTCATCAGAGACAATCCTGTTAGCTCATGGGCTTCTCTCATCTTTATCCCTGCTTCCAACAAGGACCAATCAAGGAAAGATGAATATATTCATCATTTCAGAAATTCTACATGAAAGTGCCAAATAGAGCAAGATTCACCATCTCTTCACTCATCCTCATGAATCACATAGGATCCCTGCTTCAAGGCCCCCACTCATGGCTGCCCCACGCCAGGGGTCTCTGATCACGGTGCCGAAAGCCTTCCCACCCCTCTGCCTGCCTGTGTGTGTGTGTGCACGCTCAGGGTGTCTGAGTCTTCGAGACCCCATGTACTGTAGCCTGCCAGGCTCCTTTGTCTATGGAATTCTCCAGGCCAAAATACTGGAATGGAGTGGGGAGCCATTCCCTTCTCCAGGGGATCTTCCTGACCCAGGGATCGAATCTGCCCACATTGCAGGCAGATGTTTCACTGCCGAGCCACCAAGGAAGCCCCTGGCCTTTGAGTATCTGCCAAATGCAGGTGATGCCCACTGACCCCCTTACTACAGCAAGCCCTGAATTGACAGCCTTTGGATGTGCTCTTTTGGTGTTTCTTTATTTCCATACTTGCTGTCATCTGTCATATTTGCTCAGCCAATCTGTCTGACCTGTTATTACGTAGAAAAGGGAAGGGGTAGAGAAATGTATGATTGCGTTGGTCCCGGTAACGTGGGACAGTGAACCTGGGGGGCACCCAGTGGAGGGACTAGCTGAGGCGGCTGGGAGGGATGTGACTTCACTGTGAAAAGTGAGCAATGTTGACTCTTAAATATTTTACTTATTTGGCTGCGCTGGCTCTTAGTTTCGGCATGTGGAATCTAGTTCTCCAACCAGGGATCGAACCCGGGCCCCCGCTTTGGGAGCTCAGTCCAGAGAGCCACTGGGCCACCAGGGAAGACCCGCAGTGTCAATGTTTAATAGCCCACGCGGTGTTGATCAGCTGTCTTTTTTGTTGTCATTTAGTTGCTCAGTTGTTCCGATTCTTTGAGACTCCACGCCAGGCTTCCCTGTCGCTCACTATCTCCTGGAGCTTCTTCAAACTCATGTCCATTGAGTCGGTGATGCCATCCAACTATCTCGTCCTCTGTCATCCCCTTCTCCTCCTGCCCTCCATCTTTCCCAGCACTAGGGTCTTTTCCATTTTAGAAATTCTACATAGAAATTGCCAAATAGAGCAAGATTCACCATCTTTTCCCTCATATTTCTTACTGTGTTTTGTTCTAGTTCTGTGAAAACCAAAACCAAAACAAAACAAAAAACAACAAACAACAAAACCTTTCTGGAATTTGAGATTTTCTACTTTGACTTTTGTCTTCTGAAATACTAGTGAAGGTTTTGACATTCCAACTTCCCGAAAAAATTCTTCGGGGTGAAAGTTGCCTTGCTGCCCAGCCAAAGATTGCTTTTGGAAGTGCTGATGGAAAATGAATCAGATGCGGTGCTGTGTGTGGTTGCTTTGTTTGATAAACACCGGGACAAAGCCTTCTGCAGTCCAAGCGGGAGTGTGATATGGAGTACGGCCTCAGTTCTCTCCTTGTATCCAGACTCTAGGCGACAGAGGACGCGGAGGAGGGGGCTGCTGGAATTCTATCATAGCCTTTTAGAGGGGGTTGCCAGCAGCCTTCCTCAAAATTCTTTGGCCTCACATATCGGTCTCAGCCTTACTCTTTGATAGAAAGTTGGAAGGCAAGAACTTTGTCAGTTCTTTTGTATTCTGGGGGGAAAAAAAAAAAACCTAAAATTGTATGTGATGGACCTTGTTTTTTTTTTAAGATTGTGACTCAAACTCAAAAATTAGAGGATAAGGATTTTATTTTATATTTATTTATTTTAAAAAATTAATTTCATTTCTGGTTGTGCTGGCTCTTCATAGCTGTGCCCTGGCTTTTGTCTAGTTGTGGCAAGCGAGGGGTACTCTCTTAGATGTGGTATGAGGGCTTTTCATTGAGGGGGCTTCTCTTCTGGTGGTTCCCAGGCATCAGAACACGGGCTATGGTAGTTGTGGTGCATGGGCTTAGTTGCTCTGTGGCCTGGGGAATCTTCTCAGACCAGGGATTAAACCCATGTCCCCTGCACTGGTGGTGGATTCTTAATCACTGGTCCCCCAGAGAAGTCCAGTTAGTGGTTTTAAATGAACAGGGATCTCACCTTTATTTTTACAAATCAATGGGAAGTTGATTATGACAATCTCAATGTTGAATGAGTCCTGCATTTATTCATAGTAGATGCCAGCCTTTTTCCCTTTCTTTATTTCCCAGCTCTTCTGCTTTTTATCCTTCTTCAATAAGGATTTGTTGAGAGTGAGCCATTGTGAGAATCTTGCCTGTGGCGTTCCTTTTCATGACTCCTTTCTTCTTTCATTTTGGTCACCAGTGACACCACAAATTTCAAAGAACCCAGCGAGCACTCAGAAAAAAGTTCTGCTTATAGAATTCCAGGGCTTCCCTGGTAGCTCAGGTGGTAAAGAATCTGTCTGTAATGCAGGAGACTGGATTTCGATCCCTAGGTCAGGAAGATCCCCTGGAGAAGGAAATAGCAACCCACTCCAGTATTCTTGCCTGGAGAATTCCATGGACAGAGGAGCCTGATGAGCTACAGTATAGAATTCTAACTGGTGAAAACTCTGAAACTTCCCAGGGCATGCCTGAAGTGGGGTAGTTTCCATCAACTTCTGAAACTCATCTATTCTGAGACTCAGAAAGTAGGAGTTTGAGGCTCATTTTCAGGATCATTCAGCTCCATTCAACTTAACTTCACAGACAATGCCCTTGAGGATTCAGGGATGATAAGTCATCTATGGAAGGTCACACCTTAATGCAAGAGCTATTTCTGTCATCCAATTTGGAATAGAATTTAAAATCCTATGTTATCTAGCCACGTCTCCATGCCGCTCACTCACCCCACAAACGTTTATGGACTGCACTGTCCGTGACATGCCTGGAATAAACAAGCATGAATAACAGTCTCTCTCTTCAGCAAGGTCCTGGCCCAGAACAGGGAGACACACGGCCCAAGGGAGACACAGCGTAGCAGGGATGTACCAAAGGCAATGGGAGTCCAGGAAAGAGCAGCCAGACTCTGCTCACCCCAACTCTGCTGGGGCAGTCAGGGACAGCATGACACGAGAAGTGACTTTGGAACTTTTTCTGGGAGGACGAGCACATGGGAAGAGCCTGTGCACAGCCAAAAGGATGGTGCATTTGGGGAATGGCAGCAAGTTCATGGTCAGCTACATGGGAGGACCTTTTGGGCAAACTAACTTCACAGACAATGCCCTTGAGGATTCAGGGATGATAAGTCATCTATGGAAGGTCACACCTTAATGCAAGAGCTATTTCTGTCATCCAATTTGGAATAGAATTTAAAATCCTATGTTATCTAGCCACGTCTCCATGCCGCTCACTCACCCCACAAACGTTTATGGACTGCACTCTCTGTGACATGCCTGGAATAAACAAGCATGAATAACAGTCTCTCTCTTCAGCAAGGTCCTGGCCCAGAACAGGGAGACACACGGCCCCTGGGAGACACAGCGTAGCAGGGATGTACCAAAGGCAATGGGAGTCCAGGAAAGAGCAGCCAGACTCTGCTCACCCCAACTCTGCTGGGGCAGTCAGGGACAGCATGACACGAGAAGTGACTTTGGAACTTTTTCTGGGAGGACGAGCACATGGGAAGAGCCTGTGCACAGCCAAAAGGATGGTGCATTTGGGGAATGGCAGCAAGTTCATGGTCAGCTACATGGGAGGACCTTTTGGGCAAACGGCTGGTGATGCTGGATAAATTGGTTGAGTTCTGGCCAAGAAGGGCCTTAAGTGCTGAGCTAAGGAGTGTGGCTTCTTTCCACTGCAGGTGGACACTGCCTGGTCTCCAGGGTTCTCATACAGGGGCAGGCACAACAAATTTCCCAGTTTGGAACCTAGAGGTCAAGACGGCCTCTGGTGGTCACTCCCTTGTATATTTGAATTGACATTTCTTCCCTGATTAGACTATTCTCCTTTGAAGCAGGAACCAAGTCTTTATTTTGGTGGTCCTTTAGCTCTTTTATTCCAAAAGGTCACTGTTAACCCGGGACTTGCTAGCAGCATAGAATCCCAGGTATTTGGGTTTGAACCAAGTTGCCCAGTGAGTTCCATGCACATTTTCCTCACACAAATTTGAGAAATCTTATCCTCCCAAACTGCACCAAGTTCATTAAATATTTGTCAAATCAGATGTCATTGGAAAAAATCTCTTTTAATAACAGCTGGGTTTTTAAAAATATTTACTCTTGCCAATAGCAAGAGTAAATGGTGGTATAATGGTATAAAGTGGTATAATGGATTATACCACTAAAATAAATTGTAGGAGGCATATATTTGTTCTGTTCTCCAATTCCACAAGTGGCTTCCCCGGTGGCTCAGATGGTAAAGAATCTGCTGCCAGTATAGGAGATTCAGGTTCGACCATTGGGTTAGGAAGAGCTCCTAGAGAAGGAAATGGCAACTCACTCCAGTATTCTTGCCTTGGAAATCCCATGGACAGAAGAGCCTGGCAGGAGACAGTCCATGGGGTTGCAAAGAATCAGACACAACTTAGAGACTAAGCACACATGCATGCAATCCCGCAAAGCTTAAGGAGATCTGTGGACTGGAGGATGCTTTCCTGGGTGAGAGGGAGAAGCCCACGGTGGGTGATGAGCTCAAGCTCAATCTGGACAGGCTTAGAGGAAGTAGAATTGCAAAAGCCAATGCCTGTAGCGAGGGCACAGCCTCATGCTCCGGATGGTCCTTGTCCCTAGAATGAACACTTGCACATGAGTGGCCTGCGGAGATTTGTGGAAGAGAAGATACAGTTGCTGGAGAAGGCCATTGACCAGTGCTTTGCCCACATAGCGCGGCCCCTGCAAGAAGGGATCTGGAACGCCAGAAGTTCCTACCGACGCATCCTTGGGGCGTGCCTGGTGGTAAGTGACCCTTTAAAGGGAAAAACCATGATATTTGGGGAGGTCTGTCTGATCTCTTGCCTACTTTTCTACTATCCTGTTGCTTTCAAGGGAAATAAAGAGCTAGAAGAGATTGGGAGAGAGTGAAAATTGCACACAGGAAAGCATATTGAGCAACTGTTCGACTATGCATTGCAAGGACTCAGGGAAATGTACATGGTTAGGGAGAAAGAGTTGGAATATAGGATCTGAGGGTCTTGTTTTGAATGTCAGACCCACCAAACACCCTCTCTGTAGACCTGGGCAAGGCCCTAAACCCACTTAAGCCTGTTGCATTTTTCTTCTATAAAATAGGTATAAGTACTTGTCTAGTCTATTTCACAGGGTTGATGTAAGTATCAATTAGATACACAATAAGAAAGCCTCCTGTAATCTCTTACTTGGTGTTTGAAACACTTTAGTGTTTAAAACAAATTGTTGTTTTATCTTTTGATTAGTTATGTGGGGTTTCTAAGGGATGGGAAAGAGGATGAGATGGTTAGATGGCATCACCAACTCAATGGACATGAATTTGAGTGACCTCCAGGAGACAGTGGAGGATAGAGGAGCCTGGTGTGCTGCAGTCCATGGGGTTGCAGAGTCAGACATGACTTAGCAACTGAACAACAAGGGGTGGGAGATAAGAAATGTGTATTGTTGTTTAAGCCATGAAGTTTGGGGTAATTTGTTTCATAGCAATAGGTAACTAAGTGACCGTAGGGAGAACTGTTTCCAAAGGATGGTAGAAGATCCCAGATCAAAAAGCTGAATGAGTAAGTGGGTGCTGAGCAAGTGAAGGCAGGAGGTGGGGACCAGTCCTCCGAGATGATGTGCTTGGGGAGAAGGAGTAGCATTAGGCATCTTCAGGCTGTCACTAGGGCTCCATCCTAGGAACCATCCCCTCTCTCCTTAGCCCTTCAATGGCTTCTTTCTCTGTGACTATAGACACGCTTGGGGAGTTCCTATTGGATAAGCAGCTTGCCTCTGTGATCAGACATTTGGGCAAACATGTATATACTGACATCATAATGTTATACGATATAGTAAAATAACCTAAATGCCTAGTGATAAGAGAATGATAAAGTGAATTATGATGCATCCATATGATATTATGTGGTTGTTAAATATTTTTGGAAGTATTTGCAATGAATTCAGGAAATGCTCATGTTATAATATTAAGTGAAATGGCAGAATATTAAAATACAGATAGTTAGACAGACATGATAGATAGATGGGGGTAGATACAGTATGCTGTCAGTTGTACCATGCTCCACAGCCATTAACTTAAAATATATTCCCCTAAAACACAGATCACTGATTAATGATCACAAGTGCTTCCCTGGTGTCTCAGGTGGTAAAAGAATCCACCTGCAATGCAGGAGACCAGGGTTCAATCCCTGGGTCGGGAAGATTCCCTGGAGGAGGAAATGGCAACCCACTCCAGTACTCTTGCCTGGGAAACCCCCATGGACAGAGGAGCCTGGTGGGCTATAGTCCACGGGGTTGCAAAGAGTTGGACATGACTGAGCGACTAAACAGCTACAACAATGATCACAAGGCCCTCTACTGAAATTCTGGTCAGTGCTAATGTATTTTATATTCTCTTATTCTTCTACTGAGAATCAATCACCATGTGGCCAAAATCTGTTGTCTCTAATAGCTCTCGCTTCATAATAATTTTTTTCTTCTCATTTATGAATTTATGTTTCTGGGAAAAAATATAACAAAGATATACACATCAGATCACATTTTATCAAATATTTAATAAAAAATAGAAAACTCTGGGCTGTGTTTGGAAAATCTGAAAGATACTCACAGTGGAGTCAGAGCACACTTTTATTTAAGAACTGCTCATTTAACATGTTTATCAAGCATGACATATGCCAGGACCAGACGGTGAGGATGTCATGATGGATGAGACACTGGGCTTGATCTCAACCAGCTGAGGATCCATTGCAGCAGCCTGATGAGTAAAGAGACAAATGCGAAGCTGCTGTATGTGAGCAGACAGTAGCGGATGCTTTGGGAGCTCATGGTGGAGGCTCCTGCTGACCAGAGGTGTGACTGCTCTCCTCTTGTGCAGCTTAATAACGAATAGCTTAATTGGAAGATCATGTCTCTACTCTTCCTGGTGATTCTTGCTAATAGTGTTTGGGATCTAGACGAAAACATAGATACTAAACTAGTACACAAGTATTATCGATAATTTCATTTTACTAAAAATTAGACTAATTGAATGAGTTTCCCAGGTGCCTCAGTCTCAGCAGCAAAGAATCCAACTGCAGTGCAGGAGATGCAGGAATGTGCGTTTATCCCTCTGTTGTAAAGATCCCTTGGAGGACAGAACGGCAACCCACTCCAGCATTCTTGCCTGGAGAATCCCCTGGACAGAGGAGCCTGGTGGGCTACAGTCCACGGCGTCACAAAGAGTCGGACATCTCTGACTGAGCACTCACATGCACATACACACACACACGAGGCAGTCTAGGTCTGATTCCATGAATTCTAGGTACCTACTAACTCTGTTATCTTATTGTTTATCCAGAGGAGCAGAGGAAACCAGGGCTTTCACCAGACTCTGAAAGCGGTTTGCCTGAAAAACGGCATCTATGCCTCCAGGACTCTTGCAAGAATTGATCTGAATGAAGCCCTCACACAGCCCATCTACGAACAGATTGATCCCGTTTTTGGGTGCATTTTTAGGTAAAGGAATCCATTTGGCTCCTCTGTGAACAAACATCCTAAGAAGGCCTGGCCCAGAGTCTCATCTTCAAGAATTTGTTCTTGGGATCTGGAAGGGTCCAGAGTAGCTTGCAACTTGAGGAGGAAAACTCAGTCTTTGGCAAAACACAAAAGCCTTCCTGGTTGGGTTTACTTAAGATTTTCCTGTGGTGACCCAGAGTGCAGCTGGAGACGCTACTTTGAGACTAATGTTATAATTCCTGTTATTTTTCAAATATCTCCCACAGGCAGCAGGGGATCCATTTTCTTATGGACCTGGGCCCAGGATAGGGTATTTTGGTTGGAGAGTGTGGACTTAAGGAAACACACAGCCTTCGTAAATTTCCCTGAGCATGAAAAGGAAAAATGGCTCAGTATGACTCTGCTTGTTCTTTGACACATGGCGTGGGGTTTGGGGCTTGAGCCTTCACAGCGCCTGCTCCTTCCCTTCTTCCTTGACCTCCAATGGTTTCAGACCTCCTTCCTTGACCTCCATCCACAGAAACAGAGTCTTCTATTCCTCACCTGTCTTCAGCCTCCATCCTTCACCCCTGGCATTTCACCTAGCCAGCCACCTGCTCCAGCCTGAACCACTCTACTTTTGCTCAATGCTCCCTGCACCCCCCCCCACACCTTCCTTTAAATTTGTTTTTCATCATGCCATTCCACCTATGCCCGCTCACTCTGTTTACATGTCTGTAGGGTAAACTCCAAATTCCTTGGAATAGACTTTAAGACATTCCACCTGCCTCCAACTGGCCTTTCCCATCCCTCCCTGCCCCATCTGGCTTTTGCCAATCTGAGGGCAGCAGAGAGTTACTGAGGCGTGCCAGGAACTGCGCTAAGCACTTTGCATGCATCATGTTATCATAGCCTCCCAAGAACCCTCTGAAGTGGCTCTGGTCTTTTTGCAAGTGAACACGCTGCCATTGGGAGGAATCACACAGCTTTCCCAGGGTCACTTGACGCACAGGTAGAGATCTCGGACTTCAAGCCTCTGCCCTCTCCTCTGCTCACCCGCTCACCTCATACCCCTGGGATGTCCTGAAACTTAGTTCACTATGTCGTCCCTGGGGAGATGCTGCCTCCTTCTTTTCACATCCCTAAACATTACACAGGCTTCCCTGGTGGCTCAGCAGTAAAGAATCTGCAGAATCTCTGCAATGCAGGAGACACTGGGCTCAATCCTTGGGTCGGGAAGACCCCCTGGAGGAGGAAATGGCAACCCACTCCAGTATTCTTGCCTGGAGAATTCCATGGACAGAGGAGCCTGGCAGGTTTCAGTCCATGGGGTGACTAAGAGTCAGACTTGACTCTGTGACTAAACAACAACAACAACAAACCTTGCCCATCTTTTAAGGTGTATTTCATCCCACCCTTTCAAGTGGGAACATTTGAGTAGCTGAAAACTATGAGTTTTGAGGTCAAATAGATCAGTGTCTAAGGCCTGACCCTACTACTCACTAGCCATGTGACTTTGAACACATTTTAGCAACCATTTCCAAACTTCAATTTCCTCATCCATGAAATGGGTGTCATTGCACTGACTTCATAGGTTTTTATATCAAGGGCCTAGCACAGCACAGTGCTTGGAACATTATAGAAATTTTATAACTATTAGATCTCATCCCCCTTCTCTTAAAAATGGGTAAAAGAATACCAGCTAGTTTATTCTTTGTTTTAATCCCACAATAACTGCTGCTGTCTCTTAACATTTTACTTTGCTTTCCTCAGCAGGTCTGGGAAGCCCGCTGATGGCTCAGCTCTGATCCCCCACATAGATGCTTTTAAGCTCTCTCTGCAGGAGAAGATGACTGAAATTGGGATAAGAAATGGCTTGAAATATGACAGCTATAAAAAGAGTTTCCTGATCCAGGAGGTAAGATCCTTATAGAGTAAAGAGGGCAATGAGGTTGGGTAGTGGTTTTCTTCCCAGCAGGATTTTGGAGGTTGCCTGTCTTTCCCTACTTGTTCCCTTGGAGTGTCTAGGCTCTGGGTAGACCTAATAAGAGATGCTATGAGATACAGAACATAAGAGGATGGAGGAGAGAGACGTGATCCTGGAGGTAGCAAGCTTTGTTCCCCTGAGAAGCAGCCAATAATAAGTGCTGAGACTGTCAAACAAACTCAGTTCCCAGGAAGTATCTTCAAAGAGTCCTTAGCTATATAAACATCCATATATCCATATATCCACTTATAACAGTCTCACTGACTTCATTTTTGCCAATATCATGAAATACCATCCACGGCAGTGAAGTTTAAAGAAGTGTCATTTTTTTGCAGATTACTTTTTAGTTTTGAGTCCTCAAGACTCTTATCTGGGACTCATTTTCTTAGTCTGGGCTGTCTTAGTCTGTTTGGGCTGCTATAACAAAATACCATGGACTGGGAAGCTTACAAACAACAGACATTTCTCGGTATTCTGGAGGCCGGAAGTACAGGATCAAGGTGCAGGCAGGTTTGGGCCCACTTCCTGGTTTACGGGTGGCTGTCTTTTTGCTGTGTGCTTACATGGCAGAAGGGCACAGAAGCCCTCTAGGGTCTCTTCTGTACAGGGCATCATCCCAACTGAGAGGGCTCCACCTTGAGTCCTAATCACCTCCCAAAGGCCCTACCTCCTAAGGCCATCACACTGCATTTGTGCTTCGTTGCTCACTTGTGTATGACTCTTTGCAACCCACGGACTCTAGCCTGCCAGGCTCCCCTGTCCATGGGATTCCCCAGGCAAGAATACTGGAGTGGGTTGCCATTTCCTTCTCCAGGGGATCTTTCTGACCCAGGGATTGAATCCAGGTCTCTTCCATGGCAGGCAGATTCCTTACCATCTAAGCCATCACATTGGGGTTTAAGATTTCAATGTAAGAATTTTGGAAGACATGACTATGCATAGGCCCAGCCCAAATTACATGAGAATCACCTGTGCCCCCTTAAACTTCCCAAAGATGCCCCATCCCATAACCATGCATGCACCTGAGTTCAACTCTGCAAATACTTATTGAGTTGTCTGAGGCACCAGGCACTATGGGAGGAATTTTGGGATGTAAAGATGATTAAGACAAAGTTTTGGAACTTCCCGGTGGTCCAGTGGTTAAGACTCCGTGCTCCCAATGCAGGTGGCCTGGGTTCCATCCCTGGTTGAGGAACTAAGATCTCATATGCTATAAAGCATGGCCAAAAAAAATAAAAAAAAAAAGACAAGGTTCCTGCCTGTGAGGGAGGAGCTCACAGCCCAGAAGTGGAGCAGATGGGACCAGCCAACAGTAACCCAGGGCAGAGGAAATGGTACAGCCCGTGGGAACCCCTGCCTTGCTTCTGTCAAGGGACTGTCACAAGTGGCCTTTTGTTGATGTGGATTCTCAGATAAGTGCCATCCTGGGAGGCCTGGAGGAACACATCCTCAGAAAGAAGAGGAAGATTTATGAATCTCTCACCACCTCTGTTCAGAACGACCTGAAGCCCTGTTATGAAGGTGGGGGCCCCGAGGACAATGTTTCCGCCTCCTCCGGGGTCTGTCAGCTCCTTCAGCATCCTTGTCTGCTGTTCCCCCCTTAAAGCATCCGTCCTTCTATGTCCTAAGCCCCCATAACACTCTTGGTCTACAAATTAAAACTCAACAATTGCAAAGGGGTGGGGAGAGGTCAGTCATGAACCGCTTCTATCTGTTTCCAGTTCTTTCCATCCACCCTTCATCTAGACATCATGCTTCTCCTCTCTGCACTGCATCACAGCTAATTAAACTATAAAAGCCATTTATTGAATTCTCGTTCTTATTTTCTTTAAGTACCTGTAAACTCACTTGCCAGCTTTTTCTTGGTTTGTTGGTCCCATTGATTTTCTTCTGGGGTGGGTGGTGGAGTTTGGAATTTTACTCCTTAACTCACTCAGTAGGTTTTCTACATGAAAATGATCAAATATTGATTGTTCTGTATTATGCTATTCTATTTCCATGGTGCATAAAATGGTGCTACATGTATAACTATATATATGTATGTATGTACATATACACACACACAAATACGTATGGTTATATAGGTGTATGTATATGTGCTCAGTTGTGTCTGAGTCTTTGTGACCCTATGGACTATAGCCCGCCAGGCTCCTCTGTCCATGGAGTTTCTCAGGCAAGAACACTGGAGTGGGTTGCTGTTTCCTGCTCCTGGGGATCTTCCTCTCCCAGGGACTGAACCCATGTCTCTTGACTCTCCTGCATTGCAGGCAGATTTTTTAACCACTGTGCCACCTGGGAAGCCGCAGGTGTGTCTACATGTATATGCCTATGTGTATGTGTGTATAGTTGGTTTGCTTATCTTTCTTTCTGATGCTAAGGATATCTAAGCAAGTCCTTGTTGAGGTGTTACTGTGGCTATCATTTTTGCCAGAGGCCGCACAGATCACGGGCAAAAAAGCATGTGAAAGAATGAAAGATGCCCTCAGAAGAGGGGTGGACCGGCAGGTGGCCGAGGGCATGTTCGAACGGGCTCAGGAAAGGATGCAGCACCAGTTTCAGCAGCTGAAGGTATTCAACTTACATGGTTTGCATTCCGGTCCCAGAGGGCTCCTTGGGGAGCACGGGAAGGACGGGCAGAGATGGAGGAAGCAGTAGTTGTTTGAGCCCAGTTAGAGCCGGATGCCTTCTGCAAAGTGGGCTCACTGACGCCCATGAAGCCAGGGAAGAGGCCAGCCTCCATCACGTGCTGGCTGGGGCTTGTCTCAGCCTGCGACTCAGCACCTCCAGCTCTCTCCTGCATCCTTTCTCTTTCCTGGGTCATCACTAAGATCACTGTGATATCTAGAGGGGACCCTAAGCGCTTCACAAACGTGAGCTTATTGAATCCCCAGCAAGTCTGTGAGATAAGGTGCTATGATTGTTCCCACTTTACAGATGAGAAAACTGAGGCAGTCAGAGGTGTATCAGCAGGTCACAGAGCTAGCAAGTTACAAGAGTGGGAATTTGGGACCAGGTAACCTAGCTCCAGCAATAGTATTATCTCAAGACATACTTTTAAAAAAGTATTTATTTGACTGCACCCAGTCTTTGTTGCAGCATGTAATATTTAGTTCCCTGACCAGGTATCGAACCCAGACCCTCTGCAGTGGGAGCATGGAGTCTTAGCCACTGGACCACCAGGGAAGTCCCCAGATCTTTTTTTAATGAGGGAAAATGTCTTGTCTACATAAAATACCTATGGATAAATGCCAGCCAACTATTATAGATCTGTTCATTACAGTACCTGGCATAGATTTTGGTGAGATTCTGTCTATCTCAGAAGACAGTTCCTGACAGTTTCCTCAAAACTAAGTGCTCTGTTAAGTACACTTGGACCATCTAGTCCCAGTCCTGGGTCTCTCAGTTTGTCAGTAATATAAATTCTTTGCTTTAGTCCAAGCTACTGCTAGCTCCTCCCTGGCCAATAGCATTTCCAAATTCATCAGCCGCAGTCCAGGCTTAGCTGATCTCTCCCAACCTCCCAAGGACCCAGCTCCTTGCTATTTCCATCCACCTCTGGACCAACCTGCTTCCTGAAACATCTCCAACCTCTTGTGCACAATCTCCTCTCCTCCCATCACTGCAGTTTTGGAAAATCCCTTTCTCCTCGACATGAACCATGTTATTTCTCTTGGATCGGGCTAAGAGGTATTTCATTTACCAGTAGCAGTTTAGTTTCCATCGTCTCACATATTACCACTGCCTACAAATACCTGCAGAAAACTTGCCAAATTCTACAGCTGCCAATCCCCACTGAGCACATAAAAACTGGCCCTTAAGGTGCCCAAGAAAACAACTGCACTGAAAAATGATTAGCTCGTTGATCACGTGCAAATGTATCTTAAATGGGAGACATGCAAGAAGGTGCAACTGGGCAAGACCACAGAGGGTTCCCATTCTCTGATCTCACAGACAATGAAGCTAAGGCTAAGGGCCAAAGTTACCAGCACAAGGGTCACAGATGCAGCTGAGACTAGAACTTTGGTCCAATGCGTTGGTGAAAAGATCATGTCTTGGAGTCAGGAGATGAAGGTTCAGAACTAGGCTCTGTCAGCATAGTGGAGAGTCGAGTGTTTTTCAAAGGGTGGCAAGAGATGGTTGGAAGAGAGAAATGATTTTAGCTGATAAAAGGACTGAGAGTAGCAAGAAGACATATCTCAGGCAGTTGGAAAGTCATCTCTATATTAATGGTGTGTTATGAAAAGCAGGAGGTCAACAAACATTTAGGCAGTGACTAAACTCGCGGTGGGACAAGAGGAGGATGATCAGCGCTTTGCCTCTTTCTCTGCTTGTGTGGTATTCGTTCTCCTCCCCTGACCCCGATTCCACTATGCCTCCCTGCATCCTCATTACTCCTGATCTGGTTCTTCAGCATCAGAGTACAATCACCCTGAGTCTAGGAGAGGAGCCATGAAGGCAGGTGGGACCCCTCAGAAATGTCCTGATGACTCTAGTCACCCAGGGCATCCTCAAGGTGTCCACCCTTGGATTTGACTTTGGTTTCGGCAACTCTGGTCCCCACAGTCTCTGGTTGGGGAATGGGGTGGGGTCCCTCTCATAAGATTCCTTCCCCTTAGACTGCACCATCCTAACAGAATGACTGTCCTCTGTCCTGTAGAGTGGAATCACGGAGAAGGTGAAGGGCAGCATCGCTACCATGTTGACCCTGGCTTCGTCCCCAGGGGATGGGCTCTACAAGGAGCTTGCAGGTAAATACCTACAACCTTTGTGTACTCAGGAGCAAGACAAATGGTCTCAGGGTTCTGACTCCCTTCTTGGTCACAGTCTTGGCTCCCATCAGTGGCCAGCTCAGGGTGGGTGAGTCTGAGTCATGCTATGGGGCATAGAGGCGCAAAGGGGATGGGAGAGGCTTTCGGATCAATGTGAGAGCCAACCCCAAGGTCGGTCTAAACTGTCCCTTCACAGGGACTGTGTGTGTCAGGGTTCTCCAGAGAAACAGGGCAACAGGATGTGTATGTCGCCCATACACACAAACATACATAAGGAGATTCATTTTAAGGAACTGGCTCATGCAACTGTGAAAGGTTCATGAGTCCAAAACGTGATAAGGGAGGCCAGCCAGTAGGCTGGAGACTCAGGAAAGACTTGCAGTTCAAGTCCAAGAGCCGTCTTCCAGAGAACCAGGAAGAGCCGCTATTGCAGATGAAGTCTAAAAGCAGTCTTCTGGAGAATTCCCTCTTGTGCAGGAAAGACCAACCTTTTGTTCTAGTCAGACCTTCAGCTGATTAGATGAGGCCCACCTACATTGCACAGGGCCATCTGCTTTACTCAGAGTCCACTGATTTAAATGTAAATCTCATCCAAAAATATACTCACAGAAACATCCAGAATAATGTTTGACCAACCATCTGGGCACCATAACTCAGACAGGTGGAGACATAGAATTAACCATCACAAGGATATCATCTAATTGCAGACCATAGGCTAAAAACCCAAGATGCCCAAACAGAGCAAATTCACTAGAATTTAGAATGGGAACAGCAGAGAGAAGAGGGAGGAGAGGAGAGGGATGCCTGGAAAAGACTGGGAAGGTTTGGCGTGGGGTGTGCTTTATCTTCTTCCAGTGAGCACTTGTGAAGCCTTGGTAAAGACCCAGTGATTTCCCAGGCTTCTTCTATGGGTAGGTTTGTGTTTATTTTGAAGGTGCTCACAATGATCAGATAAGCCTTAAGGTAAGAGCAACAATGTCTGGTTTGATCAAGTTGTTTATAAAACACATTGATTGGACCATCTAATCTCTAAGCTCCATTCCTGAGCTCATCTTCTGGGACAGTTGACCCAGGTCAGAAGAGGATTCTCAGGGGATCTGTTTCCTGGGGACATTTCTGAAAAGGACGCTAACTCCTGATGCTCTTCTGTAGATGTCAAAAGTGAATATAAGGAGATGGAGAAACTGCACAGAAGCCTGAGAGAGGTTGCCGAGAATGCAGTGCTGCGGAGGGGCATGCAAGACTTCCTTCTGAGAATGTCCCCCAGCAAAGCCGGCCCCCCAAAAACATAAGATTTAATTCATGGGGCTTAGCCCCGAGGGGATGGAATACAAGCCTAGAGACAATCAGATGTACTTCTGTTGGTTAAAACCTAATAAAGAACATCTCCCAACTTTGGGAACTTTATAGACAATAGAAAATCCATATATGGTTACTTTTGGTATAAATTGAGTACAGAACACATCATTTTTAATCTATTGTCAATGAAACCCTCAAAGTTCTAAAGTTTTAGGGATGAGAAACTTGTGCCTCACTTAAGGAAAATACCTAAAGACTGAAAAACTTATATGTGGAATCAAAAATATGACACAAATGCACTTATTTACAAAACAGAAAGAAACTCACAGACATCAAAAACAAACTTCATCAAAAATAAACTTATGGTTACCAAAGAGGAAATGGGGTAAAGAGGGATAAATTAGGAATTTGAGATTAGCAGATACAAAATACTTTATGTAAAACAGATAAACAACAAGGTCCTACTGTATGGCACAGGGAACTATATTCAATATCCTGTAGTAAACCCTAATGGAAAAGAATATGAAAAAGCATATATACATATATACACATATATGTATGTGTATATATATGTTTATGTATACCTATACATGTACACAATATGTTTGTACATATATCTGATTCACTTTGCTGTACAACAGAAACTATCATGACAGTGTGAATCAACTATACTTCAATAATAGTAATTTTAAAACAACAGTCTTTAGTTTGAAAAAAAAAAAAAGTCTTTAGTTTGGTCCTTGGTCTGACCCATGGGCTCCATCACAAGTTCTAAGTCACAGCCGCTCCATTTGCCCAGGAAATGGGACACTGGCTAGAACCAAGCAGAATGCTACCATCGGAAACATCACGACTGGGGTTCAGGGTCGCCCTTGATTCTGGAGGAGACAAGGGGAAAAGGTCTGTTGCTCAGAAGACTGGGAGGTGGGCAGGGAAAAGAAGAGTTTTTGAAAACACAGCTTTAAATGCTGCACAGTATTCTGATGTATAGATGTATTTTGTTGTTGCATAGCCACAAAGTCGTGTCCAACTCTTTGTGACCCCATGGACTGTAGCCCACCAGGCTCCTCTGTCCATGGCATTTTCCAGGCAAGATTGCTGGAGTGGGTTGCCATTTCCTTCTCCAGGGGATCTTGCCAACTCAGGGATTAAACTCATGTATCCTGTGTCTCTTGCATTGGCAGGCAGATTCTTTACCTGGGAAACCCATACTACCATTTATCCTACCATTATTCTATTGCTGGACATTTAGATGGTGCTGTTTTTCTCCACTGTAAATAATATTGTAGAGAATATTCTTATACAGATATCTCTGTCTCTATCTCTGATTTTTTAAAGAGATAGACAACCTTATAGGTGATTTCAAATATAATTTTAAAAATTAGAACTCCTGTGTATACACAGTATTCTAAAAATCAGAATGAAGGGAAAGTATTCTAACTTATTTATGAAGCAAATTTTAACCATGATACTTAGAACAGTGATTATAAGAAAGAAAAACTAGTAATCATTCTGAATTATGTCTCAGTTCAGTTGCTTAGTCATGTCCGACTCTTTGTGACCCCATGGACTGCAGCATGGCAGGCTTCCCTGTCCTTCACCAACTTCCGGAGCTTGCTCAGACTCATGTCCATCGAGTCGGTGATGCCATCCAACCATCTCATCCTCTGTCATCCCCTTCTTTTCCTGTCCTCAGTCTTTCCCAGCATCAGGGTCTTTTCCAATGAGTCAGTTCTTTGCGTCACGTAGCCAAAGTATTACAACTTCAGCATCAGTCCTTCCAATGGAATATTCAGGACTGATTTCCTTTAGGATGGACTGCTTTGATCTCCTTGTAGTCCAAGGACTCTCAAGAGTCTTTTCCAACACCAAAGTTCAAAAGCATCAATTCTTCGGTGCTCAGCTTTCTTTATAGTTCAACTCTCACATCCATATTATGTCTAGGTATCCAATTATGTCTAGATATCCAAAATTTAAGCAACCCCAAATAAAAAATATATCCATTTTCTACTGTGTAACTGATGAGTTATAGAATTGAGGAGCCCCAATTCCAAAATTCCTCTCTGATTTCTATCTTCAGGATAAATTTTTTTAAGAATGCCATTATTGGGTCTGAATAAAAGAGCACTTTAAAGTCTCAACTGTTGCAGAAAAACCTGTCTGCTTACTAGCAGGAATGAGATTTCCTGTGTAACCATTTTTTAATACCATTTAAAAAAATAAAAATGGATATTATTGTTTTGTTCAGTAGGTTCATGGGATCAGAGTTTTAATATTACCATCTTGGACTGTATGGGTTGTTACTGATACTGAAACCCTTTTTTGTGTTTATTGAAGTTTCTCCCACTTGAATTGTCCTATCATAATCTTTTCTTTTGGAGTGGCTATCACTTTCTCTTTGACATTTTTCTTTTTACTTTAAAATAATTTCAAACTCTGAAAAGCTGCAACAGTACAAAGAACTCCCATCAACCCTGTATCAACATGCCAACATTTTACTACACTTGCTTTATCATTCTTCAGTGGGTATGTGTGTGCACTTGTGCATACCTTTCTCAACTATTCCAAAGGAGTTGTATATGTCTATGCCCCTTCACCCCATAATATTTTAGTGTATTCCATAAAAACAAGTATGTTCTTTTACGTAACTCCAGTATAATGATCAAATTCAGGAAATTCAGTATAATGTTCAAATTCAGTATAATATTATTGCCTTATCCACAGTCTACTTCCAGATTTCATCAACTTCCCAGTTATGGCCTGGGCAAAGCAATACTTTTTCATCCAGCATCCAACCCAGGACCAAGTACTTCACTTGCTTCCTTTAATCTCAGACATTTTCAAGGAATTCAGGCCAGATGTGTTATAAAATGTTGGCTTGTCTGATGTCTCTTTGTGATTAGAATTGGATATCCTTGGCTAAAACAACCACTTAATTGCCTCATTCTTTTTAATAAACAGAGTCAGAACTCACTGCTGACCTCGAATGATGAGGGGGGAGTCTAGAAACTAAACACAGATACAAGTCTAACCCGGGTGTCGAAGCAGGTCTCTCACTTTCTGTCCTGCAGGGCGGTCCTCGCTAGTCTTGGCAGGGTGGGCAGGGAGGTTGAGGAGGATTTGGAATAAGCCTCTTAGTCTCTTAGGCCTGGAATACCGCCTGCCTGTGGCTGCTGGTGACGAGGAGGCATTGCCAAGATGCTTCCACAATGTAGAGCAGAATGGGGAAGAAGGCAGGGGGCACTCAGCTCCATTTCAGCCTGTGGCATCAGGAGGCAATAGCTTCGTTTGTCAAGTTCCTGGACCCTGCAGACTGGCTGGCCTCCTGCAGGGCTGGGTGGATCTCAGATCTCAGCAGCGGGAGGACAGGAGGCATGACCTCTGCCACCAAGCAGAGGACCCTGCCAAGCTTCGCTAAGAGCTCAGAGGGTAAAGAATCTGCCTGCAATGCAGGAGACGCTGGTTCAATGTCTAGGTTGGGAAGATTCCCTGGAGAAGGAATTCGCAACCCACTCCAGTATTCTTGCCTGGGAAATCCCATGGACAGAGGAGCCTGGCAGGCCACAGTCCATGGGGTCGCAAAGTATCAGACAAGACTGCGCAGCTGAGCATGCACAGAGGACTCTGCCAGGCTGAGGCTGCCAGCAGCCCCCCGTCTCCTGACCTCCTGTGGTCTCTCCTCCTCACATTCCTCCTCCAGCAGCTCCCTTCAGGCCCCACACACCCTCTTTGGGGAATGCCACCCTTTGTCTACCTTCCAGTGAAAGTTTCAGAGCTCAGGTTTGGCCAGAGAGTAATGGAGACGCTCCTCCGCTCAAGTGTGTTGGTTCAAAAGTAGGGAGGAATGGGTCCTAAAGACTTAACTCTAGCACCTCCACCAGCAGGAACTGTGGTCTCAGCTGTGAGCAAGCACACTTCTCCGAAGCAACTAGTACTTTTTAAAAGTAATTTAATTTGGGGGCTGCACTGTGTCTTTGTTGCTGCGCACAGGCTTTCTCTAGTTGCAGTGAGTGGGGGCTCCTTTCTGTTGAGTTGTGTGGGCTTCTCATTGTGGTGGCGCACAGGCATAGTTGCCCGGTGGCACGTGGGATCTTCCAGGACCAGGGATCAAACCCATGTTCCCTGCACTGGCAGGCGGATTCTTAATCACTGGGCCACCAGGGAAGTCCAAAAGTGACTATTAGTATTATTCTTGTAGAAACCAATACTATCTTGTCTCATATGAGGAGAGCTTGCTCTTGGCCTCTGTTTCTTGGCAAGACTGTGCTAAGGTGCCTCTAATCCACCCTATTCTGGGCTGATGTCACTAAAGCCACTGCTTGAACTGAAATGGGCTCTGCTGTACCCATCTCAACTTGGCAGGGCTGAGTTCATGGCGCTTCTTTCTCATCCCCAGCTCTCTTTCTTAGGAGGTGCCATGTGGATCCCGCCATAGTTACATCATAATAATAAGAAATAGTGACTCTGACTCACCTAAAATGTTAAATTATGCCAAGAAACTCTGCTTACAAAAGCAGAGCAATGATCATTTAAGAATGCACAGCACCCAAATTGTAAAAAATTTAAAGGTTTCTACAAGGACCTACTTTACAGCACAGGGAACTATATTTAATACCTTTAATACCTCGGGGCTCCCCACGTGGCTTAGACGGTAAAGAATCCACCTGCCATGCAAGAGACGCAGCTTCGATTCCTGGGTCGGGAAGACCCCCTGGAGGAGGAAATGGCAACCCACTCCAGTATTCTTGCCTGGGAAATCCCATGGACAGAGGAGCCTGGTGGTCTTATAGTTCATGGGCTGGCAAAAGAGTCAGACGTGACTTAGTGACTAAACAATAACCCGTAATGAAAGAGAATTGAAAAAGTATGTATATATAACTGAATCACTTTGCTATATACCTGAAACTAACACAACACTGTAAATCAACTACACTTCAAAAATTTTTTTTGTTTAAAAAATTTAAAAGCAAAAATGTTTCAGTGCTAAATAACATAATGCAATGTTTAATTTGTGGAGCACTTCACTATCTGACAATATGGGATAAATGAAGTGCTTTTTTTAAGATTTTTTTTTTATGTGGACCATTTAAAGCCTTTATTGAATTTGTTACAACATTGCTTT